TAATTATAAGGAATCTATAGATTTTGGCTAACTTCTCATTCCACCAGGATTTTGGTACTCTCTCATTTCTAGTGGTATACGTTGCATTGCTAATTTCCTCCTGAATTTTGAACTCCAGGTCATGAATATTGGAATCACACTCAATCTCATTCAAAGAACTCAGTAACTTCTTTTTAGCCATGAACCTTTTTGGAGTTTTAATTATCGCATTAGTATCCAGAGTTATGGGAAAGTGATGACTTCCCCCAATACGAATGGGATCAACAGACCAATTACATCGTATTGAACTATTACTGAAAGCAAGATCAAGTATAGAACCACTCTCAGACCTGATGTCCCTTTTGTAGGTACAACTACCACCATTAAGGCTATTAAAGAAGGAGTTCTGGATGATATTCGTCAGATGCTTACCTCGGTTGGAATCTATACTATCACCCCAGGCAACTGCTCTGGCGTTAAAATCACCAATTAAAAACACATTATTATAAGGTTCTAAAAAGTTTAACATTCTGGTCACTTCATTGTTGAAGTCACCAATGCCAATATTAGGGGGAAAATTAATAAGTTTTCTGTGCGGAGTGCGACTGGAAAGAAAGATTTCACTAAAACAGGCAAAATCAAATTCATATTTATGCAGATAATATTCTATTGAATCTAAGTTGGCTCGAAGGAATTGACAGTTATACTGCAGGGGACAGTAAAAGTTTCCTGAACCATGTCTGTTTTTTCCTATTGACAAAGGTAGAAGCAAAGAGGTTCGGGTGATTCCGTGAGTATTCCAAAATGGAGTTATACCAAATGTTGTACATGTCATCTTTTATCTGCTTGGTTGCTTCGTCCATCGTGAGTCTGTAATTTCTGCTAGAACTATTTATCGTTGCATTTTTGGCAATTTCGTCAGCTTTCTCATTACCTGAAATCCCTTTATGGCTAGGCGTCCATACAATGTCTATTGGGAAATTTGCTTCAGATGCTTTCCTGAAAATCCCACAGGCAATACTATTTGTGGTTTTGGGTTGTTTGAGTATTTGACAAGAAATTACACGGTCAGTGAATATGGCCAGCTTGCAATACCTCTTCCTTTTTGCTATTTCAATCGCTTCATCTATGGCAAGGAGCTCACCAAAGGATGATGAAGCCTTAATAGGGATATGAAATGCATGTTCAGAATTGTCAGAGAGGTCAAAAATGCCACAGCCAGTTGTTTGATCCGCTAAAGACGCATCAGTGTACATGTTCTGATAATCATCCGCCAAATAGTCATTCAAGAGCTTG